CTGTATATTTTGAAATAATCGACCGTTCTGGTAATTTTCTCTAACCCTGTATACGAATTAATCCCAAGAAATTCATGAAAGGCGTGCGACGGCAAGGTTTACTGTGTGAATTTAAAGGTTTTTGCTCCTTTAAGGACCTTAACTTACCTCCAAAATCGTGTTTCTGAGTCATCCTGGATAGGGCCAACAATGATCTAAAGGAAATTAACTTACCGAACAGTATGAGAAAGAAGTAAGGAAAATGGCACATTACTGGCGAGGAAATATTGAAGTACGAGGCCCCTACTTTAATTTCCGAGTCAAGTAATGTTATTTTACTGACGAGTTTTTGATTAAATTTTACCCGAAATCGTATTTTAAATTTTAAAAAATTGGTATTTTCAAATAGAACTTTTGATTAATGTCAATCTGTCAGTGGTGACAGAAGTCATTATAGATATTACCAATGTGCCGGTAAAAGTAGTTTGATCTGCCTCTGTCATAGAAACTAAAATTTTCTGATATGAAGTAGGCATGAAAATGAAGCTTTTGTGACGATTTTGGGTAAAACTTTGAAAGGTATACATACACTACTTCCAACTGTCGAAGTGTCGTCTCGAACAGACGATAAATCTTCTTTTAGAAGGCTGTCCCAATGGCGTTTGTAACTTCGGTTTGATATTGTTTTCTGTCTAGCACTGTATGTAGAATTTATGCTGTTTTTACGTGAAGACATCAGGTGTTGATGTTATCCTGCCACTCCCTAGTCAATGCCTTCACTTTTTTTTACTTTCCCTCGAAGTGCGTGTTCATGTAGTTCTATTTTTTTGGTAAAATTCTTTATTTTTAAATGTACTGTAACTGCCGTTGTAGCAGTTAAAGAATTCTATAAAGCCGGAAATCTCTTTGACAATGTTTTCTTTGTGGTGGCCCTTTTTAGTGGAGATACTCCACTAAAAAGGGCCACCACAAAGAAAACATTGTCAAAGAGATTTCCGGCTTTATAGAATTCTTTAACTGCTACAACGGCAGTTACATTACAGTACATTTAAAAATAACGTGTGCTAAATTTTTAGTTGCCCCTGCAACAAAATTGCGTCACTCACCAACCCAAGGAATTTCTGCAGTCTCCAAAACAACCTTTTTCAAGCTATACGGACTATTAACGCCAGCAGATGTGGTATTCTTTAACAAATTATGTTAGAAATATGTTATTTTGACTCGTACACTTTCATTTTCTAGAGGATCTATTGATAAATCAGGTGCAAATTGAAACTGCAAACTGACCAATGTCTTTTTAATTGCCGTGGCCCAAATTGAAAGCACTTTACCGAGCCATTCCAATGTTTTGTATACTTTGTATACAGACACACAATTCAGAAATTCTGTTGTTGTATTCAACTGATTCTCAGGGTCTTTATAGCGGTGATGTACCATTTTCCATTTCTGTTTTCCTAATATTTAAGATTAGGACTTAAGATTTCTTTTTGGAAATATCTGCAGTAACAGGAGAGTGTGATAGATAGGGATTTGTGTAAGTTTCGTCCACGTTTACTTTCACCTTTAATAAGAATAATTTCTGGGGACATGCTTTAGTTATCTTATCAGGATGCACAAATGTGTCTTCCTTTAGAAAATGTTTTCGGTGTATGAAGTTCAATTGCGGTTTTCCGTAATTTAGATCTCCTTTCACCTCTACATGATTGACACAAACATTTTTTGCTGATGTTTTAAGTTTAGGACCTATTCCTTCCACTTTTGTTCTCCTGATACTTACAGTTTTCTTTCTAGAACTGTCTTCGATATCAGGAAAATACGAAATGCAGTTACTGATTTCTGTAGGTTTCATCCAACTTTACTTCCACTTTTTCAATACAAATTATATTTTTCGCACGCTTTAGTATCAGGAGCGCATGATGAAAGGAGAAGTAATAAAAATAAGGTCTTTGTGTCCAATTTTTATGTTTGATTAAGAAAGTACTGGAAATTTTCTTCATCCCATTGCTATTATTATGCGGTGAAACACGTGCTCCAAAAGAAATAAGCCGGTTTTTTTTAATGTTGCATAGAATGAAATATCGCAACCCAGAGTAGAGGAAAGATATTTTGGTTCTGATTTCGTTATTCAATGGTTTGGGTGGTAAAAGTCAATTTCTTCAATTGCCAACTTGCTCAAAAGTGAATTTCAGCGTCGCTTATGGTATGTAACGTCCCTGCAGTAGAAAATTGTACTACCCGTTCTTACATGGGGAAATTAACAGAAAACGAAATCCGATTACAATAAACTAAATAATTAAATATTTCCCATGTCCCATTCATGTGTATAAATTGCACTTTTCTTTTATCTTCGGATGCACAAAACTGGAGTTTTTTTTTAATATAATTCTCCTTCCGAGTTCCGATAGTGTCTGACGGCCCAACACCGTCCAGCCTGAACCAACAGTGAACGGAAATTGATGATAGCGTGAAAGGTCTGCCATTATTCCACAATAACTATTTTTAATCTCTTTCAAAAAACCGACGAAGCCAAAAATATGACCTTATTTTACATGGCTTTCGGGTTTTGCCAAGTACTTATTAGTTTCCACTGACAATCTGTGTCCCTCCGTGATCCACTTGCAGAATGAATCTCTCCAATTTGCGGTACTCACATGAAAATGAATAGAAGAAGACATGTTTATTTATCGAAAAACAATTAGTAAATTGAGTACATTTGTTAAATAGGTATTAGATAATTGAACTATAGATACAAATTAATTTTATGATCACGGTCGTAAAAATTGGCACACTTTAATATTCTCTGCAGAAATTGTACAAACCGGTGGATTTTTTCACGTACTTTTGAAGAAGAATACTGCGTCAATCCTATCCGTTAGTCTGTCCGTTCGAAATTTTGTGATCTCAGCCCCCAGACCTCGTAACGGGCGATCAAAAATGAGTTGCTGTCGAGTCGCCTTTGGAAGTTCAAGTTAAGTACGATTTCCCGTGTAAACAAAACTTCCAAAGGCGACTCGACAACAACTCATTCTTGATCGCATAGTGGAAACAAATTTTCAGGACAACAAGGAGTAAGAGCACTAAGAAAATATGCTTCAATTTAAATCAAAATAGTAGTTTCTGCTGCACACCTTCCTACAAAACCGACACCCCTTTACAAAATTACAATTGCCTTTTTGTTAGGGAGGCGCAAGAACTTTTTTCAGCCAAAATTTTGGCGAAAAAGAAGAATCTTCATTGGATAATTTGAAATTTGGGATAGCGGTTTTCGACGAAAACATAAGTACCTAATGGTTAGTATACACGGAAGAAGTGCCCAGTGGCGGATTTATACTTTTGCCGCCCAGGGGCTTTGGGAAACTTGCCGCCCCTAGATCATTCTTACCACAAAAATAGCCCACAACTTCATAAATCCTATGGCTAAAAAATAAAATCGCAATCTAAGGGAGTTTATTGGTTCGTGGACTATTCGACTACAGAACAAATGCTTATAAGTAATAAGTATTTTTATTTGATTATTCAACAATTTATTGGATTAATCAAAACAATTTTCCGCCCCCCCCCCCAAAATTTGCCGCCCTGGGCCCGTGCCCTTAGTGCCCCCTCTAAATCCGCCTCTGGAAGTGCCATTACTGATATTTGAGTTTGTAATCCTTTACGCCCCAAAGCATGTTTAAGTTCATTAGTAACAGGTTCTGCTCAAAATGTAAGTATTGACATCAAAAATGACAAATCACCAGTGCAACTTAATTTTTACGGCAAAGTAAGAGTTTTGAACTGCGGGAGGGCAAAGTCTATTTTTAAGTTTCCCTCTCTCCTCCGACAAATTAAAAGGTTTTACTAACAAACATTTACAATTTTTAAATTAAAAGTACAAATACAACTCACAATTTCTGTATACAAATTTGATTTAAATAAGCGGATAAATAGACCGAGGCGCTATATTAAGAGAAAATTGCAGTTGCTTTTAAATAAAGATTCTAATTAGACCAGTTTCATAAGATTGAATTGGGATGAACGGAATCAATCGGCTCTTAATAGCCATGTAGTTCTAATGTAGTAATTCTTGATTTTCATAGAAGTAGTGGGATGGAGGAATAATTAACGGGGGACACCAAAAACTGACTCTAGCCTGGCCGCAAAATCACGTCGATCCGGTGCCGAATTTAAGCAAAACTCGCTCCCTGTAGCGAATTTATGGGTAAATTAAGTAAATACAGGGTGGCCCACTGAAAACAGTCAATGCCAATTTTGCCCATTTAACGACAGTTTTGCCAGAAACGCTCGAACACGTCAATTTTAGTGTTGAGGGGGACACCTAAATTAAGTAATACTGCTACATAACTTTAAACCTGAGAAGGGGGTGAATTGCACCACAAAAATTTTAAATGTTAGATAGGTCGAAAGGAATGTTCATTAGGTTTTCAGAACTGTTTTTATTTTTCAAATTCGATCAGTAGTTCCAGAGAAAACTCGATTTAAATGGATTTGCAGAGCCGTTTGAAGATGAAATAATTGAGAGCTTGTGTCAGAAAAGAACAAACATATGCATATTCCTACGTTGGTAAAATAAGGGTAATCAGTATTAATTGGAACCTCTATATTTGGATGAAACTAATCTCTACGTTAGTTTAAACTGTAAATTGGGATAAGAACGGTGGTAATTGCCTAAATCGGATATTAACTGCGGTAACGCTTAATGAGCTGTTAATTAGACAATGGCAAACAATAAAGAGGGTAAAAGGAGAAAGAAAAGAAACAAAATGAATGCTCATACGTATACGTAAATACATTATACTATTCTAATAATTTGCTTTAAATTCAGTACATGATTCTTTATGGATAATTTAATTGAATAACATCTCCTTATACATTTAAGTTAATTTGACAAAATATATTTAGCTCATAGATAGTATTAATTAACGTAGATACTTCTTATATTATACCTTTTGTTCCAATTATTCTAAAACAAAATGGGATAAAATTACTAATGCATCCAATGGAATTTAATTAATAAACCTCAATATATTTTTATACATATACTTCATCATAATTCAAACTCCAAAAATATGTCCTCCAACAAGTTCAGTCTGCGCTCAAAAAATTTATTATCATTCTGTTGTGCGAATCCATACATCGCAATGTAATGCATTGACGATTTTGAGAGGCTGGATATCAAAATCGCAAATGCAGAAAACATGTTTTTCAATACATAATTATATAATTGATCAACGTATATAATAAATAATTGCCTATCATCTGGCAGCTCTCAATATATCATTAATCATATTAACGAAGGAAATTACCTAATCTATTAAAACTTTTTAAAGATTCAACGCATCTAATATTAAATAGGGGAGGAATATACCTTTAGGATCATTTCCATAAATACATTTATACACAAAATATATCGTACTACATTTTAACATTCAGTGTAAACATAATTTTGATAAGTTGTTACTTGATATAACATCTTACAGTAGGTACTTGCAAAGCTTAAAAAAACGTAGAATTTTCATAGCAAAAAACAGAGACAGATATGTGGAAAGGTGTCATCTTTTTTTTGCAAACATATACCTTACCTTCAATAAATTAATCGGTAGTGACTAGAACGTACTCAAATATATAAATCTGGTCAGGTCAACTCAAACGTACAACCAATTCATGTTCAAGGAGAATGGTACTACTACAGTACGTGAAACAGGGCTGGAAATGTTTCACGTTATGTAGTTATACAATAAAATCTAACTATCAAAAATAAGTTACTGTTTTTCCTTTTCTTTATCCGGTTGGCTACCCGGTGCCGGTTGAGGAGGTAGGGCTTTTAAAATGGCGTGCACTTCTTCAGCAACAGCGGTCAGTACAAACTCGAACTGTTGCTTAGTGGCCACCATCCTTGGTCGCTGATCTCGTAAATGTTCCAACGTGGCCGCAATATCGATTTCCTTTGCTCCCTTCGCCATTCTACTCAAAACCATGTCTATCAAACAATACGTTCCGGTTCGACCGGCTCCGTCGCTGCAGTGTACAACAATCGGACACGATCTCCCACGATATGATTTATTGACCTTTCGTCTGAATTCGAGTAGCGCCTTTGTCGAAGAAGGTATCCCGGTTTCCGGCCAGGAAAGGAAATGGAATTGTGTTACGGTTCTCGTCTCTCCGGTCTTAGTGTTTTTCAAATAGAACGATCTAACCAAGTAGTCGTCGCACCATATGTGTTCGCTCACCAAATGCACTTCGTAGACGTGATACATTTCCGAACCCTCCTCGGGCCAGTACCGGTGGCACATCGCGTTCCCAGCTTCGGTAAGACGCGTCAGCATGACTATTACGACGGCTCCTTGCTCCCAAATTAACTGCCAGAAGTCGGGGGAAGTGTGCGGTAGGGGTCCTTGCGTTGCTATGTAGGCCGGATTTCGGGGGTCATGGTCTGTTATACTCGATGCATTGATATAGTCAAAACCGGACGCATTCGTCAAGTCGTTCAAGACAACCCTGGCGTGGTCATACGGCAGAATCTCAGGGTAACGGTTCTTCTCCACGTTTTCCGGTTTCAAAGCGACGGTGCTCGAGCACGGCTCGGCTTCGTAGGCGCAGAGCGCTACCCATTCTTGTTCTAAACGATCCTTATTGCGCAGGTGGTCCTCCATGTAACTCAAAACCATATGTCCGGTTGATATATCCATGTTATGCAAGGCGGGCTCCTCGGACCACGATGATGTACTAGATCGACTGGATGGGCTTTGTTCCGATTCGCGTGATAGTGATGTTATTCTTCCGTGAACGGTCTCTGCTTGTGGTTGGGTCTTGGTCGCCATTCTTGCTCTGCACAAATCTTGATAGTCTTTGCTAGCTTCCGTATCTGGACGAGTTAATCCGTGTAACTTCTCACGGGAAATAATATGTCGACGGATTACTATTAGAATACATGCCGTTATAACAAAAGTCAAGCAAAGTCCGGCTAGTAGCAACGCGATAACGTAGAATTCAACGGGCTCATCGACTTTGGATGTGAAAACTGCCTGCTCTTTGATCTACAATACCAATCACGTTAGCTAAACTATCCCGTTCCACAACGCGGACTTACCTTATCTCCAACTCCAGCCGCCATAATAGTCATACCGGTAGCTTTGTTGATCTTGTCCCGAAGCTCTCCAATTCTTTGTGCCACCTCGGTCGCGTTCAAACTCTGGGCGTTTTTATTAACTTTAAAGGTAACCGCGTTCGGTTCAACTCTTCCGTGAGTGATCGCCTTCGGTTCCAAATTTAGTAAGTTGGAGATATTACCAATTACCTCCTCTCCCTGCTGCCAAGTGCTTAGGCTGTAAAAAGCGGTGAATTATCTCGAATTGCGCGCCGACTTTTACCTGTCCTTAAATATCACGTAAACGAAATTAGTATCAACGTCGTAGATATCATGAAGCGGATTAGGATGCGCACCTCGTGGTTCTTTTTTCATCATGGAGGGCATTACGGTATCATAATCGACGGCTGAAAGTGTAAGAGACCAAGAATGTAAACAAAAAATATTTTAAGGTATAATTAATACAATATGCAAATCATTTTTTGCGGTGGGCTCGTATCTATGTAAATTTGTATAAATTAAATATTTGCGTTCATAATTCAGTGGCAAATTTAAAAGTAAATGTACTCTGATGCTAAACACTAAATGCTGTATATAAAATTCTCTTGCGGAGATTTTGGTGGCAGATGCTCGCAGCCTGGTCTACTGGTAATTCACTTTCGTGTCTACGTACTTATGGACGGAAAAGATGTAATTAGAAACTCGGTTTATACATAAATTTTGGCAGAGGGGACCCAAAAATAACATGAAATGATAAAAACGAAAGGAAAACTGCAACCGCATAAAACAAAGTACCTACTGGAATCTAATCAAACTGGGGCGGGATGTAATTCAAATTTGTCAACACATGTGGGACGTTTGTCAGTTCTCGTAAGAAAGAACTTAATATACCAACCGAAACGAACCTTGCCTAGGGAAATTCTTATCCAAGACGAAATCTATAGAGATCGATGCTACCGCAAGATAGTACAAGGCAGGTGATAAATACGTTGCCCATAAATAGGTGCGTTTTGTAATCGGGGCTTTGATTAAATTTTTGCGTGCGAACTAGACAAGTCTAAAGTACTGTAGCGAATATTCTAGAAATCCCGATAGACATCGAGGCGACAAAGAACGAAGGCGGACGTCCTTTTTCCTAGAAATATGACTTGTTTGTTGGAGAACATTCTGGAGTGCCCTTGAGCACTCAATAAATTGTAAGTGATAAATAATAATTATTGTTATAAATTAATCCATTAATAATAAATGAAGTACTGCTCACGTGACAGATGAGGAAGATGAAAAGTTAGAAAAAAGAGAAAAAGTCATGTATCAACTTTGTCCAAAACGACGAGGACTGCGATTTGGCAGTGGTGAAAACGGAGACCGAAAAAGAAATTGTCCCGAGAGTACAGTGATCAATAGCCAGAGAAAAGTAGAACGGCTCAAAGGTAAGTAGCGAGCAAAAAAGTACAAGTCGCATCATTGAATAATGAAGATGCGCGAGGTACGGTACTTATGGATGATGGTTGGGCACTGCAGGAACTACGGACGACTCAAGAAGCAGACCGTGATTAAGGTTTAGTAATAAACTGGGAAATGGAAGAGAAAAGGCCAACATGGGAAAAGGTCCAGTTTTAAACGCTTATTGGGTACAGTGGGACTTGTTACAATTAGAAGATGGTCTTCTAAAGAATATGATGATGGCACGACTACAACTGTGCAGGTAGTGACACCGAAGAGAAGGAAATCTAGTACCACGACAGATTCACGATGGCATATCGAGAGGGCATCTAGGAGTGACGAAAGCCCTGGGGAATATGCGGAAACCGTTGTACTGAGAGAATTTCAAACAAGATGTGACGAAATAGTGCAGAAAATACTTTCTGCCACAAGCAAGGGCCTAGTAGGAAAAAAGAAAGTACCAATGAGACAATACAATGTGGGTAGTCCATTTGAAAGAATATCGCAGGACCCTTCCCAGAGACAGATTCTGGAAACAAATACATCTTGATGGCCATGGATTATTTCAGCAAATGGACAGAAGCATATGCTCTACCAAATCAAGAAGAAGCAACTGTGGCAGACGTTCTAGTAAAAGAACTTTTTAGCAGATTTGGAACCCCTAGAAATACCCTCTGAGAAGGTGCTATTCCAAAGCCTGCCACAACTATTTGGCATTACCCAGACCAGAACCACTGCACAGTCAGGCGGAATGGTAAGAAGTTAAGAACGCATGAAGAGGGCAATGGAGAAGTAGTGATGTCAAAAGTTGTGTCCGGCCATCATCGTGATTGGGATTAATATCTGCACCAGCCGAGTACGCTTTGGCTCACTGCGTAGCCAAGGGGGTTAAGATATCCTGTATCGAGGTGAGTAAAGTGTATATGTAATCCCAGAGGAACCCCGAAACCGATTCGTAAGGCGGTGGATTGCTTTTTCTTCAAGAATGGAAGATGCAAGAGGAGGTTTTCGTGCAAGTTCGCGCTCTAGAACAAGAGTTGCCTCGCACTGTGTCTCCGCTACAACCGTCATCCGTGTTGCGAGACGCAACAGTTTTAAGAGGGGTGACGGTGTAGCTCATATTTCAGAAATCCCGATAGACATCGAGGCGCTATGAAAGGTTAGTCATCGGTGATAAAAAAGGAAGGTGCATGTGACGTAATCTTTCCTAGAAATATGACGTGTTTGTTGATTTTTTGAAGCATCCTCGTCGAGTTCTCACCCGTCATTTTTGAGAAATAACGCTAAAACAAATTATCATGTAATAAAGCACAATTTTAGGGACCGCTATGGACAATTTTATATACGTTTCAAATAGAAGAAATGTTTGCTTAGAAGCTAGACATTTTAATCATAGTGCGAAGAAGAAAAATTTTGATAAATGAATGAGAGAACTGCACCTCAAGAGATTGAAAATTGAAATTTTCTTCGCTCTACCCTTGTGTATATGATCGTAAAAAGGACTTCCTCTATTTAAAAAAGTCCCTCAAACATGTGTAACGTGCAAGGTCCATATTAAGTAATAGGTCAAAGCGAATGCCATAGGTTCATTTAATGGTTTAGCGGAAGAGAAGTTATGAATTTCATTCCTGGTCCAAATGTTAAAGTGTAAAACCCCATCTCGTAGTTTATATGTGAAGTAATTTCGGTGCGATTCTCAAACCTACGTCAGATTTATATTTTGTTCAACAATGGGTTTATACACAATCAGCTCACTTTACGCAGGGATAAATTAAGCACACGACCTCATGCAGAGTGCATTTCCTGTTAACGAAGATATCAGAATAGAGATATTATTACCGGGAAGTCGCCATGAGATTATCATTTACCGCCGCTCTACCCAAGAGCCAAATGTCTATCTATGTATACCCAATCGGCAGAAAGGAACTTAAAAAACCTGTTTTATTTACAAGTGCTTTCATTGGTAGACAACATTAACATTCATTTACGGTGTGATTTACTTGATGTGTAAAAATTTTGTAAGAATGGAATAACACTCTTTAAATTTCAGCTACGATGGACCAGTGTAGCCGATTAGTTCGCCGTTTATTATACTATTTGTAGGTGGGTCCTACAGCCAGGTAAGTGGCGAATTTGCTTTTGAAAATTGAGCTATCTCATTAGATGTGATACAGATACGAGGATTGCAACTCAGGGTGTGGCTGAAATGGCATTTATAATCAACAATCCATTTGACATGAAAGGAAATAGTATATTAAGATACAAGTGTATAATCAAGTCTTTAAAGCACGCGCAACGAGTTTAATGGCACGACGCGAAGCGGAGTGCCTTTAACGTTGCAAGTGCTTTAAAGACCAATTATACACTTGTATCTTATAGTATTTTTTATTATACCTGCAGTATAATTTAAAAATAGGCAATACAATGAAATCATATTCACGTTATAATCGAATACATGTCTAATTAAGTGGGCTGGGTATTCGTAATTTCACGATTGCCATGGAAATGTCACTTGACGTTTGCTTATAAAAATCATGGTCTTTGTGAATAAAACGATTTCCGTAGAAAAAGATAATACACCGTCCATTAAATCGCTTGTTGTAAAATCTAAACAAACGTTGGTAGGTGTAAAATCCAAATCCAGTAAAGCCTATTATAAAGAATATGAAAAGTTGTTTCCATGGCTGAATAGGAAGTTACTTACGAATAAAGTCTTAAATGCATCGATAATGCTGGCATATATGAAGGAAATGTCAAAGGTATTTAAATCTTCTATCTGTTGGTGCATTCATTCAAAACTTTAAACAATGCTGCGATTAAAAAGTGGAACAGATTTGGAAGCATACCCTAAATTACGCGCGTTTGTGAAAGCTTCAACCAAAGGATAAGTACAAGCCAATGAAATGTTCTGCATTTACAGAAAGCGGCCTAAGAGGATTTTTTATTTCACCCAGATGACAGTTTCAAAAGTCATACTTGAAGTATCATTACTTAGCAACTTTAAAGCACGTGTGTTTTAAAGGCCTTTTTTCGCAACGATTTGAGTGTTTAAAACGGAGATTGTGATTCAGGTATAATAAAAATTATAATAAAAGCGGTGTGTGCAATTACGGCATGGAAATTCAAACATAACAAAAATACAATAATATTTTTTCGCTGGAACCAATGAAATTTTGATATGGTTATCAATTTCGTCCTTCATAAAAATCTGCGGATAGGTAACTAGCAGGATTATCACAACCCACAATACAATTAATTATTGTTTACTTTACAATATACTTTCACACGCGATGTAATTATTATTATATTCAAACACGCACTATACAAACATTAGGAATACGACAACTTTTCTATTCCCTATTTTAGTTTAGTAAAGTTAAAATCGATGTCTCACTAACAGCAATTTTCTCTTTAACTTTTTACCTAATTAGAATTACCTAGAAAAGTAAGGTAACATGTTTGTAGTTTATCAAATAACGTTGACCAAATACAGTGGTCAAATATTGCAAGATCAGCATGTCGATACTATCGCAGGAATCTACGAACTTTATGAACTTAATTGACTTGATTAAATAGCGTTTTTCGTTAGTAACTATGTACCAAGTCCTGATAGGACCTTGCGTTGAAGAGTGCACGGACGGACGGCCGGACACACTATCAAAGGTCAAGATGGACCTATAGGAAAGTTCTTGTTTACACGGCGCAGTGGTTCCTTTGGTACATGAACAGGAGAGAAGAGAGGGAATTAGAAACACACAGTGGCCGATATTAAATGTTGAGGCGCATAAACGGCATCAATTAAAAAAAATTAATGAAATTTATTCGTACAAACACAATGGTGTCTAATGGATTAAACCAAAATCCTTAAATCCTTAAACGGTTTTGAGAATTTATTATGGAGATTTTTCCACCATCGCGCAAATCGCATCAATTTAATCGTTCCACAAACGTTCTGCCTAACGGA